AGTTTTGGCAAGAAAGGCGTGGGGGGGGGCGCGGGGGGGGGGGGGGGCAAACACCTGGATGTAAGAGATACGTTCTAAAAACTTTGAAGCCTTTTAGGACGTACTTCTTACATTCAAAATCGAAACGTAGTTAAAATAGCTCATCATGCCTTTTTTCTTTTGACAAAACATGTATAATCTTTTAAAATTATTTTTAGCTATACAGAACATACAAACAAAAGAGAACAGCTAGATGTAAATACTCTTCATTTGCATTCCCACACTGGCAGTGCATTGTGGTGAATGCACACAAATTAAAGAGCGTAGCGCTAAGTCAGCACATTCATTTTGAATGGGATGCCAAGGCACCACACATTTCCCAAATGCAGCCCAAAACAATGCATGATATGTGTGCTGGCTGCTACTGTATAGTGTGTTGCAACGCAATTCTTTGTGAATGGCATTGCAATGCACTATACAGTAGCAGCCAGGACACATGGGTAACCATTACACAGTAGTATGAATGTGTCCTTATTGTGTATTAATGTTCAAAAAAGGTTACAGGAAACCTTTTCTGCTGTGTCACCAACTTGCTTTTTGACAAGCTGCACACAGAATCTGTTTCCCATCAGATTGTCTGTAAACATTGCAATAAACAGTAACATTTTTTAAATGTTACCAACTTATTAGAGTGCTAATTATGTACAGTTTATGTCTATTCAGTGTTTTGTACAGATCACACAGATCTCAGTCATAAACTGAGGGTGGTTATTATATAAAGGCAACATTTCACTAATTTCCACACATCTCTAATAAGAGAAGAAAGAATAATACTTACAATGCGTGGATAAGGCACTCGCCCAAAGGAATATATTTCCCACAGCAAAATCCCAAAGCTCCATACGTCAGACTTTGTTGAGAAAAGCTGTCAAACAAGATGCAACATAAACAATTAATACAGATATTTCCATCAAGTATTCATGTCTTTATTTATAAAGATGTTTTTCCCTTCTAGATACAAGTTGCTGTCATTTTTATATGCCAGTCATCTACAAGGATCCCGTTTTAAAAACTGGAACAACTTAAAAATGACAGGAACTATTTCTAAATGCTTTTTACTGACAAAATTCTGTTACCAGATGATACTGTAGACAACAACTCAGACTTGCATCCTTAAAGTGGACCTTGCAGGAAAAGCGGGGGTGTACAGCAAGCACTTTTCCTTTTTTCCTTCAACTTTCTGGGGCGAGGGGCTACAAAAAGAAGTGGACCTTAGTTTTTCATGCAAGGTCCCCTTTAGGCTATCTTAGCAAGTATAACTTGCCACATACACTTTCTCACTACAGGACTTAAAGTGACATTAAACCCTCAGATTTTTTAACATAAAACAATACTGTAATGTGTGCCTTACTGTAATATATGGTTGTTTCCCTTCTCTTTGCTGCTCTTCCTTTTAAATCTGTATCTGTTCTCATGCTCTGCAGAACTTCTGTTTTGCAGCAGACTGACTGTCTCAGGAATGGATACACAGTGTCTGTGTATACGTTTGTATAGGCTTGCAACCTGAGCCAGCACTACAGGAAGAGGCCCTGAGCTGAAAAGGGAAGTTCTCCCCAAGCATGAGAAGACATGAGGATTTAAAAAGGAAGAGCAGCAAAGAGAAGGGAAACAACCATGGATTACAGTAAGGCACACATTACAGTATTGGTTTATGTTAAAAAATCTGAGGGTTTAATGTCACTTTAAGTCCCCAATACAAAATTTTACATGCATTTGCAATTTTGATGTCTTTTACATGCACTGCAAATCACAATCTTGCATGCAAATATTCACTTGCACTCATACTCACTGGCCAAGAGAAACAGGCCTTTACATACACATGGAGACGGCCATTGATGAGCTCTACCTCAGCCTTGGCTATTAAGATGGCCCTTTAACTTCAGTACTTTGAGTCACTTGACCCAGAGCAAACCTCTGATTTCTCAGTGACTCAAAAACGTATGTTTTTCGGGTCAGTGACTCAAAGTACTAAAGCCAGTTAAGCATAAGAGCCATGCAAATAGCATTTTTACAATCAGGTGCAAATAGCAACCCCGCATTTTAAAATAAAAAATTTGCATAAAAAAAGTGCAAGTTTCTTATGAGAAATCCTAAGTAAACAGAAAGTCAATCAACAAATAAAACAAACAAGAGTCCAAAACATATGTATTTCATCATAAAATGTTAGCCAATGCATTTTAGGAGCTTCATCAGGGCTGGAAAGGCTGATCATTTCAGGATGTATGACTGATAAAATGATAAAGGATGTATGACAGTATCATACGATGTATGATACTGAAAAATAATAGTAATGGCTTATGTAGATTAGTGCTCTGGTCACAGGCAGACTTTTCCATTTGAGTGCAGCACTGCTCAAACGCAAAATTCAGCCAGCAGTGTATGACAAGAAAAGGCTGTGTTTGTCCAGCTTGGTCAGCAGTTTAAACACACCTCAGCAGGACCTCCTGCATCTGAAGAGAAGAAACCCAACACAATGCAAAACAGAATAAATGCAGCCTTTGAACGGTCATTTACACTACTCCATTAAAGTCAATGGGAATTTTCTGACTTGTGCTTGACATGAATATGAAACACACGTCAAACACAGCAAAACATGTCCATGAGCCCTTGTGAGGAAAGCAGGCTTCATTTTCAATTTAAATGGGCACAGAAGACCAATTAATTGGCCTAAAATAAACTATATGAGGTTTAAAAATAGTCAAGGGTGAAGTCTCCAATAACTGGTCAATACTGAACTCCTAATTTGTTGCAATGCCTAATGGGTGCACAGAACAGCAATATATCAATGCAAAGTTATAATGTAATACATGTTCTAGTTGAAGCTGGATTGGCAGCAGGATTTGGAATATAATTGTCTACATATATTAGTCTAATCCACTATACCACAAAATAAACATAGTTGCACGGTTGATCCACAGATATTAGACAATGTGCCATTTACACATCCCTGTATGATAGATAGCTCGGATAATGTCAGTAAAATTCATAAACATTCAACTCCTCTTTTATTGAACAATAGGTCCAGGCATTCATCCATATAAGAATCTATAATGATCGGTATATGTGGACATACACACTGTATCAATTTGTAGCACAGGTGTTGCGAGTACAATTTTCCCACACAGACACAGCAGAGATCTCCTCATATATATATAACCTGCAACTATGGATACTGTTGTGTACTGTGCCTTGCAAAAGTATTCAACCACCACCCCTTGCTGTATTTCCTGTTTTATTGCATTACAATACGGAATCAAAATGATTTTTTTTATGGGCGTGTACCATGTGATGTACAAAACATGACAACCATTTTGAAGGTGCAAATTAATTAAGATTAAAAAAAAATCTTGTGTGCATAAGTATTCACCTCTTTTGCTATGAAACCCCTAAATAAGATGTGGGCCAACCAATTAACTTTAAATGTCCCATAATCAGTTGATAAAGGTCCACCTGTGTTACAATCAACGTGTCAGTCCTCTGGGTCTGCAACACCATTAAGCAAGTGACATGAAACCAAGCCGCTCACCAAACAGGTCAGGGGCAAAGTTGTGGAGAAGTACAGATCAGGGTTGGGTTATAAAAAAAAAAAAAAAACCCCACACTTTGAACGTGGAGCACCATTTTAACAAAATGAAGAAAAAAATAAATTGGCACCAACCGGGCATGAGGGGCATTATTTAGAGATGCATAACATCCCCCCCGCCCCCCAAGATGATGCTGGAAGAGTTGCAAAAATCCATAGCAGAGGTTGGAATATCTGTTCATAAGACCACTTTAAGTCATGGGGCTTTATGAAAGAGTTGACAGAAAAAAAAGTCATTGCTAAAAGAAAAACAAATATGAATATATGTTTGGAGTTGACCAAATAGCATGTGTCTGAACTGCCCAAACACATGGAAGAAACTTCTCTAGGCAAAGGAGACTAAAATTTAGTTTCTTGGCCATCATGAGAAATGCTATGTGTGGCGCAAACCCCAACACTTCCCATCACCCTGAGAACACCATCCCCATAGTGAAGCATGGTGGTGGCAGAATGATGCTGTGGGGCTATTATGACATGATCCCACACAGACATGGCAGAAATCTCCTCATAATAGATACTGTATCCCCCAATATGCTGACTGCACTTTTGCATCTGTTAAAACTGATATATTCATTGTATAGTTCCAAACCTGCATCAGCTATGAATACTGCTAACATATACAGTGTATCAATTTGTATCACAGATGTGGCCCCCTACATACAAAAGCTTTAAACACACACCAGAAGGCTATAATCACCACTCTTAGTCCAATCAGAGAATGCTTAGTATTCACTGAGAATGCCTAGTATTCACTGAATTCTCTGAATGGTCGCTGTGCAGCTCGAGCAACCTTCTGTGTTTTAACAGTACAGGAGAAGTCACTCAGCACAGCGGCTGTTCCAATACCCAGAAGATGCTGTACTACACTAATAGCTGCAGCTACTACAGTGTAATACATGATTTTGTGGCACTTTATATATAATTACATTGTGCCAAGCTGGAGCAGTGTAAATATATATACATTTTCAAAGCTCGATATACAGTGTGTGTGTGTATATATATTATACATATACACACACACATACATACATGCACTTCGCCAGGTTGGCTCGGAAAAGGCCTCTGGCCTCTATATAAAAACACAAATGTACAATGTGTGTGGGCTATGAAGGGAACTGTATATCTGCTATAGGGATGGGAAATGCATGTCAGATAAATGGTGCATTGTTGCTGTTTGCCAGATCCAGGCCTGCATTCATTAAAGTGTAGTAGAATTATGCATGTACATGGGGGAACCTAAATTGCTTATTGCATATGCAGGAACTGCTTCATGGTTAGTAGTGATATACAATGTGCAGGTGTACCAGACAGGGTCATGTCAATTGAAAACAGACTTTGCAGTCTTGAAACACCCACAATTCTCCAATTAGCCATAAACTATGTATTCTAGGCTAGGCTTAAGGTAGCTGAAACCAGTATTTTTTCCAATTCATAAGCAATAGGTACTTCATTACTCAAAAAAGTGTTTTTTATGCTGGCATACACCTTATAGATTGTTCAATGTGTTTCCTAACTGTATTTATCTATAAAAGATCACATTACAACATGGCTACACTGAAGCGCTTTTCAGTTGTTTATACGCAAAATCTGCATTTAAGTGGCTTTGGTAAAAGTAACCTTGAATCGGTCACAGTTTTGGTAAATTTAAGCTCAAATCACAAAGGTAACTTGCCTTCTCCCGCAATGCCTCTGGTGATGTCCACTTCACTGGCAGTTTGCTGGTGTCTTGTGTTGCAGAGGCTTCTTTAGTAAGTCCAAAGTCGCTCACCTTTGCAATATTATCCTCTGACACCAAAACATTGCGTGCTGCTAAATCTCTGTGCACAAAGTTATTGGCTTCTAGATATTCCATACCTTCCGACACATCTCTGAGAAAGATCAAAGTAAATATGACATACCATAAATTATCTAGTCGCAAAGAACTTAAAATATATCTAAACAAAAGATTAAAAATGCAATATATTGCAGCTTGCCAGATGTGGTGGCTGCATTACGTTTCACTTTACAGACTTTATATTTACTTGATCCTGCCAGTAACACACTTTCTGTCCTAAGGTGACAACACTGACTGTACGGTATTTATTAATGACCAGAATTGTCATCCTGGGACTAGAACTGTGTTAGGACTACAGAATACCTTCTCTCTGAACTGGAAGCAATGTAACGGATAACCATGCAGAGGTGACAGAGACCACAGAAAGTTAAAAGCTCATAGGATTTATGGTAGTATCAACAGGTATTTTTTGCACTTGTAGAACAAATTTAACAAAACACTTTCAATGGTATATGTAACTGACCAAAAGGGAGAACATAAGAGAAGGTCATTGTTAGATTTTGCATAGACTACATTTAGGTGTACAACTAGCTAATTTGAGCATTATTTACTAATCATTTCAACTGTATTTCATAAATCTATGACATATTGATTTTAAATGGTCCAATAGTGCAGCTGGTTATGGGATACTTACAAAGAGAACTGCAGTAAACATTCCCCTCCTAGCACCGACCTTCCCCGGGACCTTAAATAATCCACTAAGCTGCCCTGGGAAGCAAAAACAAATGTCAGATGGCTGGTGGACTGTAATCAACTAAGGCTCTAAAAATGGGAATATGGGTGTAGCATAAGAAACACAGCAACATCAATTGCAGCAAATTATTGGTAAACTCACTCAGTCATCTCACACATACATACAACAATAACACATTACATTACAATAACACATCACATTACAAAAACAAATATTTTAAATGATCGTGACTTAAAAGGAGCTCAAAGTTGTGTTAAAAACAAGTATAATATAAAACAATTACCTTTGCCATGAATTCTGTGACAATATACAGGCTGCACTTGTCTTCAACAATCACTCCCAGCAGCTGAACTAGATTTTTGTGTCGCAGTTGCCTAGAAATATGAAGTGCACACATTTTTCTAAGTACATAACACAAGGGTGAATAATCACATTATGCACTACAATGGATACCTGCAGGTGAATAAACATTATTTAGGGCTTGTTCACACCCAGGGCATTAATCTGTGTTTATCAAGGCCACAGCAAATACTTTTGCGGTCTATGTGCCCAGTTAATAACAAAGCACCGTGCTGGTGTGCGCTGAAGAAAAATGTAAACGTACTGCCCTTTTTGGCAGCACACATAGACTTGTTACAAGGTGCATCAACATATCGCATGCAGCACACAGAGCTGCATAAAAGTTTAACAAGAAATAAGGAAAAAAAGCAAACACTGCAATGGATTTTTAACACTATGTTATGAGCACAATTACATGCGCTGTGTGGTGTGACTGAGCAACGATCGGCGGACGGGAGGTGGTTTACCACATGCCGTCCGCCGATCGTTGAAAGACGGCCGGACGGGAGTCTCTTGGATGCAGGTGGGCGTCTTTAGACGTCCTTCTTGCCTGCGTGCGCCCCCTGGCGCACACGAGCGGGAAAGCGCCTGGATTTTAAAGGGCCAGCGATGGCCGTTTACATACAAGCGGTCCGGCGTCTGTAAAGACGCCCGATCGCTTGTATGATGGAAGTGAAGGTGTGCCCCTCCTTACCTCTGTAAGTAAGTACTATCCTTGTCGCACTCCTTAACGATATGTCCCTTGTAGTGGGGGGTGCTCGCAGTGACCGCAGATGGCGCCGCAAATCACGATGCTAAAGCCTGATGAAGGGACCCTGTGCGGTCCCGAAAGCGCTTGTTTGGTCATATGACAAAAAACTTCAATAAATGAAGCTTTTGCTATCTTAAAAGGATTGGTGTGCTGGTGACATTTCTACAATTGCCTCCTTACCTCAGGTCGCTGTCCCCGCCTCCGCGATCCCGGGCGTCCATCCATCCCGGGCGATGTGGCTCTGTGCATCCGATCTCCCTCCGCTCTCTGAATGCGGGAAGTGATGTATATTACATCACTTCCGCATTCCTCTGTCACTCTCCGGTACAGAAACCGGAGAGAAGCTGATGAAGCAGATCTCTGCTTCATCAGCTTCTCCGGGGCTCCCTAGGTGACATTAGGGGTTTTGGAGACCCCTGACTTCTCCATAAAGGGGACCTGTAACTGTAATTTGTTATTACATAGGGTACTTATTAGTCCCCTATGTGATAACAATAAAGTTAAGTGTAAAAAAAGTAAAAAAATAAATAATTCTTACAAAATTTTAAAAAATTTACACACAAAAAAAAACCCCCACAATCTTTTTTTTTTAAAGTCCCCCACCCCCACAAAAATGAGTTAGATGCACCTAGACGCGAAAACGACGATTGCTGCACGTGTTACATATAGTCGCAAACGTCGCAATGAGAGCAATAATTTTAGGGCCATCAATCACTGATAACACTAAACTGATGAGCGGTAAAATCTTTTAAAACGTTGCCTATGACCAATTTTGGCTATGGTGTTTTTTTGTGATTTCGCGGGCGCGCGCAATTTTAAGGCTTGACATGTTTGGTGTCTATTTACCCGACGTGATCCCGCCTTTTATATTTTACCAAAAAAATTGGGTAAAAATAAATGTTTCCTGAAATAATAAAGGGAAAACCATTTTTAAAAAAAAAATATTCGGTACTTTTATGTTGTATAGTAAAAAATAAAACCCCCAGTGGTGATTAAATACCACCAAAAGAAAGCTCTATCTGTCCCCAAAAAATGGTATAAAATTCATTTCAGTACAGCGTTGTATGATGGAATAAACGTCAGCCATAGTACCGCAGCGCTGAATACTGAAAAATGGCCTGGACAAGAAGGGGGTGTAAACACCTGGTCTTCAAGCGGTTAAAGATCTTTCATTGTGTACATTTACAGAGGTGATCTTACTATGAAAGAGACCCCAAAAGCAGTGAAAAAAAATACATTTAGGAGGTGTAAAATGGGATACAAAATGGTACATGAGTAGAAACTGGCCAATCTTCAGATTTTTTGGAGCAATGACAATTTTGGGACAAGAAGAGAGGGAAAATGTCTCCAAGTAAAATATGTACAGCAAGAAAACAAAAACAAACCAAAAAAAACCATGACTTTCCCCACTCTTTAAAAAATTAGGTTATAGATGTAACTAAGCTCTAAGCAAAGACAAAATATCAAGTTTGCCAGTCAAAGAAAATATATGAGAATGTGGCAAGAGACTTGTAACCACTATGCATTAGAGAGGCAACATATATAAAGTTATATGAATGGAAAACATCTTGTTATGCCTGTTTTACGGCCTCATGGGGATTCCTAGGACAAAAACCTGCAGATTCTTGCAGCAAAAACACAGGTGTGTCCAGACATCTGTCCATGGACAAGCATCTCTCCTGATCCGCAGGAATCATACAATGTACAATTGCCTGCAGACAGCCATTGACAGATGCACCCCGTCAACCTATTAACTTCAATGGGCACAGTGGTCGCATCTGTATGGACCTACTTGGGATTCCTGCAGCAAGAATCCACAAGTTCTTACCGGAGGAATCCCCAGATGCCTTAACAGGAAAATATTAATTATGGTCAGGACAAAAAAAAAAAAAGTGATAAAAATAATGAAAAAGAATCTTACTCATTCCTATCAAATATCTCTGTCAAAGTTTTAATCAGAGAAATCCTGCCTAAAGACAATCTGTTGTCCTGTCCCTTTGGCTAACCCGTAGCGCTCTAGGATAGATACACAGTGTAAATATATATATATATATATATTAGAAAAAAAAGGAAGGCACGGGTTCTGGACATTTCTGCTATTAATGTGTTAAAGCAATATACTCACGTCATGACTAACGCCTCAGCAATAAAAGCTTGTGCAGTTGCATCGTTCTTGATACATTTTACAGCTACCTTTGTTCCCTTGTATTCACCCAACTTCACATCTGCAAAAAAAAGTGAATAAAAATAAGCAGTGCAAAAATTTCCGGAACCAATGCTCCCAATTACATTGTACCAGGCCTGTTAGGGGAGCCACTTAGCACTTTGTAGATTAATGCATCCAGTGAGTGGTGTATTTTGGTTTTGTGCTGCCCTAGGCAAAACTAAACTCAGGCACCCCCCTCAATCTAAATTTGCCCAACCCATTCCTGTTTAGGACATTTTGCGCAACCTATCAGTCACTGGATGCACATGAGGTCTCAGGAGTGCTGTGCATGGTCTTGGGTGGACTGTACGGGGGCTCAGGAGAGATAGGCAGGGTCTAAGGGGGACTGTGCAGGGTCCCTTTCTCTGCATACATGTGCTGCTCCTCTTTCCTGCAGCTAGAAGTGCCATCAGTACCGACAGGATACGTTGCAGTCCCTGGCCTGCATTTGGGACATCCCACCATCAGATCACTTGCTATGGCCAGCCCCAAGCCACTTGCTGCTGCTCCCCCCACCTCCTGTACAAAACCAGCCAGACTTCATCTCACTGGGCCCTCCCCTCCACTGGGCAGCTCTCTAATTAGGCAGCCGCTCTTATGGCCGCCTAGTTAGCCTCATTAGAGTGATTCTGTGCCTGATTCTGTGCAAGTGCCCTGTATGGTGTGGGGTGGTGTTTTCTGCCGCCCCCCTGGAAAGTGCCGCCCTAGGCAAATGCCTAGTTTGCCTTGCGGTAGATACAGCCCTGCATCCAGTAATGCCACTGGATGTAGTGATGCACTGATCCCCTTTTTTTGGTATCAACTACGAGTACCGATATTTATCTTTCGGTACTTGCGAATACTGATACCAATATTTCTGCGAACACGGAGCTGGCTTTCTGGTCAATCAGAAAGCTGGGCAGCGTGTCATTACCCGCCGCCCAGCCTCCTGATTGGCCTGGGAAGCCGGCTCCATTCGGTTTGGGCTGGGAAGCCAGCTTCCGGCCAATCAAGACGCTGGGATGCGGGTCATGACCCATCCCCCGGCTTCCTGATTGGGAGTGAAGCCAGCTCCCTGCTGCCGCCTGGCTTCCTGATTGGCTGGCTCCATGTTCCCTCATGGCACTGCCAGTTAGAGGAAATCTCCCACTTACCGGAGGTTCCGGTATTGGGGTTAAGTATCAGAGCATTTGGGCGAGTACAAGTACTCCCCCAAAACTCGGTATCCGCACCAATACTAGTATCGGTGCATCCCTAGCAAAATGTTTAACGATTTCCAAACAGGAGGCCTAAAGCACTTACTGATCGGTCTTGGCTTGGTCTGACAAGTGGGCATTAAGAAATGGGCTGGATATTTTTGTGACATTACAGCAAATGGGTATATGAAAATAATTTCTGAACAGAATTGCACCCAGGCCAGAAAAAGGGGCCCACTTATGCCACACTCTATAAAGTGATTCATTGGTGCTGATCAGCCTTCACTATTAATAGGATGACTTTTAAATATCGTAACCTGTAAAAAAAAATAAAGAGCAAAACACTACCAGACTTTCAGCAAAAATGCATTTTAAGTTACCACTTTGTACCTCCAAATTCTCCATTTCCTATGGTCTGCAAAATTTGCAGGTCACTCTTTTTCAAAGCCCAACCACCTAAAACAAGAGTAACCGGTATGAGAGAAAGAATATGTAAGAGACTGACAGAAAAAAAGAATATATGCAAACATTATGACTCTACATCCAACCATATTAAGAGAGTTTAATCTATCCCATTACACACCATTACTTGAATCTAGTACGTTAATGCACCAACACACAACCAAATCTATGTCTTCAGTACCTGTCTGGACAATACATTCTCAGTAAGAAGGATTCTAAGCAGATTTGCCAATACCATTTTATTAAACATTTTCCATTAACATTTTGGGTCTGAATGCTCCATTTACTGCTTCTATGCCACTTGTTTCATGTGGCTCACAAGCTAAAAAGGCCTAGGCCTCTGATGCACACCCAGGCTAACACATATGCCAATAGCATCATCTTTGCATAAGTAAACTTTATCTAACCTTCTTATACTGTTATTTAACTACTTATTACAAAAACAAGCTGAGAGACTTACTCCGGAAGAACTCATCCTGAGCAGCCACAGTCCCCTCCATTAGTTTGGGCTTCATAAGACTAGTGCAGAGGCCATCAGCATCGTTAGTGTAGTGCTAGAAGTGAGAGAGTAGATTGTAAGTGCTCCCATTTATCCACTAGAGGATGACAAATCCACATGCATACTGTATCTGTAATGTAAACCTGGCAATAGAGAGATGTGGAGGCTGCTATTGCTGATCCAAAAATGCTACTTTTAGTCACTTATCTGGAACAATTATGCAGCAAGTGAAATCATAACTCTTGATATGCCTGCTTATTTTGGGTCAGTTATTCAAGATCACATTTAGGGCAGAGGGTCAGCATGGTAGCCAAGTAAATAGGATTTTCAGGAAAAAAGACCAGCATTGACTAAATTATTTCACGCCAGGTTCCCCTTAACATGATCCCATCAATCTGTTAAAGGGTCCGTATGCCTAAAAATCGATATTTTGGATATAATTGGAGTCTGCTAGACCAGGGCTAAAAATGTCAACTCGCCCCCTCACAATTGGCGAGTGAAAATTCATCTGGGGAGGGGGTGCCGCCGGTAGGACCAGCAGGGGTGAAACTGCTTTGATCGAGCGCTTCAGTTGTCTTCTGTGGCCGTGAAGGGAAGACAGCTGCACTGAGTTTTCTTCTCCTCGGCCGCTGCAGCTACAGAGCGGCAGAGGAGAAGAATCAGTTAGTCGGTCTTCCCTTCACTCCGGCCATCTGCAGCTGCTTTTGGCTGGCTGGAAGTTTTTGCAGCGCGGGACTTGAACCCCCCACCACCACCACGAGAGGAAGAGGGCAGATCAGCTATGTGCACTGAAGGTCCTGTTCTTTCTGCCTTACACTGCTAACCTCTGTATTGTGTGTTACATTACTGACCTCTGTACTGCTGATCTCTGTACTTTGCGTCGCACCGCTGACCTGGCGGAGTTAAGGCCGGGGCAGGGTTGGGGTTAAGTGGGTCAACTGGTGGCGAGTAACTCTTAAGGCCTGGCTAGTAGCTCAGGGCCTGAAATTTTGAGCCCTGTGCTAGACTAAATCATTTGCCGACTTCTCATATGCCTTGGCGACTCAGACGCCAGTGGAAAATGTCAACATTTTCTGTATCAAAGCTCATAGGTTTTTCAATAGAAAATCTAAACTGAGAAACATTTTAATAACATGTGAAGAATGCAGTAATGCTGAAGTTCAGCATTAAACTAAAAT